GGGCGAGCAGAAGAGGTTCGATTCTGGGGATCTGCCTTCGTTGCGACGCATCCTGTGCGAGCAGGGTTTGCTCTCCCGGCCTGATGGATCCGCCTCGTGGGTGCAGGGTCAGCAGTGGCTTTTACCTCTTCCCCCCCCCCCTCGACCTCCCCCCTGCCTAAATATTTATCCCCACCAAGCACTGGCAGGATTGCTAAGGTTCCCTTCGCCTCTGGCTTCCCTTTTAGTCTGGGGTTGCCCGTCCTGCAGCTAAATTTTCCGATCCATGGGTATGTCAGTAGCTGAGGTCTCTTGACTGCGGAGCCAGAGGTTGGGAGTTCGATTCCCCCACTGGGCCTCCCTTAACAGGGGCTGGACTTGAGGGTCCCTTCCAGCTCTGCAGTTCTGAGATATTATTACTATTATTCACAAATACCAAGCGCAGTCAATCAAAATTAAAAAAACATTGACTGGTATTATATAATAGATACAAGTTTTAACAAAAAAAAAAAGCCCTGAGTATCGGTGTAGTATCTATGCTGTGCCTTATTATTGCTGTTTTTAACTGGTCTGATGTTGCTTTTAAAATACACCTTCCCTGCTGTTACACTCGCCTTCCAAAATATTACTTAATCTGAGCTGTGGTTTAGGTCAAGCATCCCTTGAATATTTTCATTCCGGTCTCGTTATGTCAGGAGTTAGGGGTAAAGGTGCGATAAAATGCAGTCCTAGATACAAAGAGCTGTTGTGACAGGGATAGGGAGGACACCGGCTTGCCTCGTTGAAGGGCAACGTTCCAGGGCTGGTCTACGATATACTCTTCTTACCTAGATGGGAATAAATGTCAATAGGATCAGTGTTTTCATTTTCCTGAAGAAAGCACTAGTAGGGGAAGTCAGACCTTCCAGCATAGTGTGAGGCCATTACGAATTTCATTTCACTGTGTTTTCTTTCATACATCTTGCCCATCTCTCTGGGACCAGCGGGAGGGATGTGTTTCCTGTTTACGAGTTTTTGGAGCTCCCAGTTTAAATCTGAACTTTTGTGGGAAAACATAGCTTTGACTATGCGGACTTTTGTTGGCAAGGTGATGTCTCTGATTTTTAAGATGCTGTCTAGGTTTGTCATCGCTTTCCTCTTCCTTGCTAAGATTAAGCCTAAATAAATCAATGATGCCTGTTGTGTTTCTGTTTACCTCTTCTTTTCAGGTGACACCTCAGTGACAGCTGGCGTGTATGGGCCTTCGGAGGTCAAAGTGAGCAAAGAGATCTATGATAAAGCGACCTTGGAAGTCCTGCTGAGGCCCAAAGTGGGCCTACCAGGTATGGCCTTCATGTGTTTAGAAAAAGATTTATCCTAGTATCCAATTTATCCAATTGGTTTGAGAAGCTTTCCCTTTTTTGGACCACCACGAGTCCTGCCTGGGGCATTCTGGGAATGTTTAATGTTGGGTTTAAAGTGATGTTGCGGCACATCTGTTTGCTTTTTAATGTTTGCGTTTGTCTCTGTGAGTCATCGCCATCATCTTAGAACTGCAGAGCTGTTTGTTTAAAGAATTACTGGGTTGCTCAGTGGTTGAGGTCTCTGCTTGCAGACCCAGAAGTTGGGAGTTCGGTTGGGTCGTTTCCAGCTCTGTGATTCTAAGATGATGAAGAGGTTGATTGGGGGATTGCAGTAAATCGGGACTCTTCAGAATCCTGATCTGCTGTCATACGAATTGCATGCCAATATGCACTCAGCTGTCAGCAGTCCCGGGCTTGTCTTTCCCATCCAAAGGCCATCCGCCGGGATCTTACCCCCTATTTGAAAACAGTGGATCGAACAGAGACGTCCAGCGCTCCGTCTTGCCCAATGAGACTTAACCACTTTCAGCCTGTGACATCAGACATGGTGGACAGAGTGCTTGACTGCTGTCGCTCCACCACGTCCTCCCTTGACCCTTGCCCGGCCTGGCTCATCAAAGCAGCCAGGCCTAGAACATCCGAATGGGCTACGGCAATAATTAATGGATCTGTCCAGGAGGGCAAACGTCCAGCGCTCCGTCTTGCCCAATGAGACTTAACCACTTTCAGCCTGTGACATCAGACATGGTGGACAGAGTGCTTGACCGCTGTCGCTCCACCACGTCCTCCCTTGACCCTTGCCCCGCCTGGCTCATCAAAGCAGCCAGGCCTAGAACATCCGAATGGGCTACGGCAATAATTAATGGATCTGTCCAGGAGGACAAGATCCATTCCATTTGGACTTCAGGCCGCGCTGTGGCACAGAAACGGCATTGGTCACCCTGTTTGATGACCTACTGATGGAGGCCAACGGGCAAAATGTCTCTGTTGGTCCTCCTCCATATCTCAGCAGACTTTCGTCGAACACGGTATTCTCCTGGGCTTTATGTCTCTGCTGGTCCTCCTCCATATCTCAGCAGCCTTTGGTACCGTCGACCACGATATTCTCCTGGGCTTTATATGTACAGCTCTAAATGGTTTAGGACCTCAATATCTGGCAGAGCGCCTTCTCCCATGCAGTTCTGCCAGAGTCACTCGTTCAGGCCAGGCGGCTGAGGGGCCTAACACCGAGGGAGGTCCAGAAGCAAAAAATGAGGAATAGGGCCTTTTCGGCAGTGGCCCCTCGCCTTTGGAACAACCTGCCAGTAGAGGTCTGCCTGGCTCCCTCTCTGAGTGTTTTCAAGAAAAAGCCTGGCTATTTGGGCAAGCTTTCCCTCCTGCCATATCTTAATTTCTTATACTTTCACCACCTTGGATCTATAATACGTTTTTTTTATTATTATTATTATTTTTAAATTTGTAAACCACCCAGAGTAGACCTTTGGTCTAGATGGGTGGCATAGAAATCCAATAAATAAATAAATATAGCCCTTAAGTCTCCATCTTATTCAAATGTAAATTAACCCATTTTCTCCTCCGCAGAAGACAAAAACTTGTAGAGTATATAATCAAAAGGTGAGCTGATCTACTATTTCTGTAACCAGGAGGTGGGCGTGTGGAAGCCTGCAGAGATGCCATCTGGATATCTTGTTCCTGCTGGCAGGGAGCTTGCAAATAAATAAATAAATGCTGCCATCAGGGGGGAACAAAAGAGATATTTCTTTTTTCCCCCTCCTGCTGAGATTTTCCGTGCCCCTAAACCCGAGCCGGAATGAGATGGCTTTGCTGTGAATAATGAAATTAACAAACAAAAGTACTTCTTTTTATTTCTGTGCAAACAAGAGTCTTTCCACCCACCGCCAATCTTTCTAAGAAGAAAACGCTGCTGATCCTAATTACTGGCTTTGTGGCTATTAACAGCAGAACGAAGAATGTTTTGGAGTGTGTGCATTCCTTCCTTCAAGCCCTGCGTGCTTAGTCCAAGTGCTTTCTGAAATGATGATGATGATGATCCTAGAACAGCAGAGCTGGAAGAGACACTATGGATCATTGAATCCAGCTCCTGTCATGCTGCTGTCTTCTTACAGGGTCAGTTTTGTGGCATTGCAGAAGTCTTCGGCGGGTGTTAAAGTGCTCTGTGCAACCTGGAAGCTTGCTTAGTTCTACTTTTGCTCGATAATGTCCAGAAGAGATCTGAGCGTTGGTTGCTCATATCGCTTCTGGAATCAATGGGGTAACCGCATTTGAGTTGGAGCCACTGGGCTAGGATTCACTGTTGCCTGGACCATGGGTGGGCGCTTGTCAAGAGTTCCAGTAGAACAGTGCTGCCCCGGATGGCATACCCTTTGGGGCCTTAATATCGGCATAAAGGAGGCTGCAGTGAACCGTGTGGGCGAAGGGCCAGGCTGAACCCTTTGGCCGTCCAGGGAAAGCTTGACCACTGAGTTCTTCCAGACGTCTAAACTGCCCTTCTGGCCGTCTGCTGCTGTTAACTCAAGGGAGACAGGCCATCACAATCTCTACACACAGTACTTTTCTAGGCAAAAAGCATAGCAACATGAAACCTCTGGAGACTCCAAACCAAAAAGAGCCAGCAGGGAAGAGGGGCGCATCATTTTAGGGACCACTTTGGAAACTGAGCGGTAGATCGCATGAATCTCAATTCAATCCAGTAAGGGAGTCCCTGTTTACAAAGTTGATTGCTTTGTGCCTCTGTTTCTCTCATGTTCTGCCTGTTTCTCCCTCCCCCCCCAGGTGTCTACGAAAGAAGCCGAGAGCAGATGATCAAGAAGACGTGCGAGGCCGTGATCCTAGGCAATTTGCATCCACGTTCGTCAATTACGGTGGTGCTGCAGGTCGTGACAGATGCGGGCTCTGTATCCTTTTAGTGGGAGGGAGGTATCTGTCATCATCATCGCGATTTTAGAACTGTGGAGCTGGATGGATCCTCAAGTCCAGCCCCTGTCAAGAGAGGCACTAGTGGGGAATCGAACTCCCAACCTCTGGCTCCAGAGAGACCTTAGCCCCTGAGCTCTCCCTTTTTGTCCAGCGGTGTCTTTGCAACCAGGCCCTTATTTATGTTGCCAGCCATGGAGAGACGTGCGTGTGAGCCTGAAAGAGCCTCCTTCCTTTGCTGCCTCTTAGAAAGAGCGGCTTCTGTTCTCCTGCCCGTTTTCCCCCAGATATTCCAAGTCGGAATAAAGGAGCTGGAACCGAGCACTCGATGGGAGCCGGCAGGTGGCAGCAGAGCGCCAGAAGTGGTTTTCCGCTCTGCGGCTCGGTCCTTAGGAAGCCGGTTTTATCTCTGCAGCACACGGTGGCAGAAAGGCCATCGGACGGACAGAAATCACTCGGGTCGGACAAGCAATTTCCTGTTGAGCGGCGTCCGTTTGCATGTTAGATTCCCAAAGATGTACCTTAATCAGTGGCTAGTTTTGCAAAGCTGTGCCTTGGAGTCACCGAGGGTGGATTGAACCCCCGTTTTGGCTCCCAATCAGCTGGGGGGGAAAGAGAAGGGCTGACACCAGGAAAAAAGTCCCTTCCTTATCTCTCTTTCTTGAAACGCCTTTTGCAACCTGGCTGGGATGGGGGGGGGAGCCATTGCTCATTTGCCTTCTGGCGTAATCCCCATCAGTCCCCCCCCAACCCTCCCATCCATCATGCCATTTTAAGGAAGAGGGAGAATTAATTCCAAGGAGGAATTCCATCATCTCTCTCTGGGGGTTAGGATTAGTCAGAGGGGCTAACGGCTGCTGAGGCTGCTGATGGAATTTTGCAAGGAAGAAAGAGAAATGTTGTACACGAGGCAGTGTAACGGCAAGGAAATCTTCCTACCTGCTCACTCCAAAGCGAAAGTCTGCTGCTAACTAAAACGGAGTCGTGGAGAGAAAGCAAAGCGGAGTGTGCCGCTTATATGCCCTCTCATAGTGCTTAAATCTCTCTCTCTGGGTGGTTCACAATGTAATCATACAGGCTACACATTGCCCCTCGCCCCCAGCAAGTTGGGTACTCGGTTTACCAACTTTGGAAGGATGGGAGGTTGAGGCAACCTCCGCTGGCTACTTCGTGGCCAGTAGCAAATGGCGGTTATGAGCAGAGTCTTCACTGCAGTACTGCGATTGAACCACCCTGCCACAAGGCTCTAGTTGGCAATATTGCAGCTGCTGCTGGCATGGTGAGGATGCTGAATGTAGATAGAAACCACGCCGGAAGCTAGAAACCGTGGACACTGTGCAGAAAGGAGATACAGGAAGAAGGAGGGAAAGGTTTACCTGTGGCCGTGCTGAGCTGTGTGGCTTTTATTTGAGGCGCTCTGTGTTTGCTTCGGGGCGGCTGCTCTTGCTAGCAGTGATCCTCATAGCATTCATACAAACCCAGAACCGTTAATAAATAGCAGAGAGGGAAAAAGAAAAATTATTTTCCGTCGGGTTTCTGCAGAAAGATGTTTCCTGTCTAACTGCAGCAATTCCTTCTGGAGGTGGAAGTGTGGGGTGATGGAATGATGGGTGCTTCCAATGGGGAAATGGGCATGCATTTCCTTCATAAACCATCATCCTCCAGCAGCTAGCTCTCTGTCTCTGCCTCCCCATCTCTGTGTAATGCAGCTTAAAGTGGGTTAGATTTTAGAGTAACTGAGCTCCTAATTTTTGCAGAACCTCGTCTAAATGGTGTATGAAGCCCTTTCCCACATAGTTACGTAAAGAACAGGAGATTTGTGGAAAATGCTATCAGGATTAGGGAAATGTGTGTGTAGAAGTGAGTGGGGGAAGAGGAAGGCGCAATGACTTGAGCTGTTTGGAATCCCTCCTGGCGTCCCATTCTTCTCAATCTGTACTTGATAATGGGAACTGGCGAGATCTCGGCTCTGCAGATTAGCAGCGTAACATACTTCTTTATTCATTTGAAATATCTTTTCCCCGGTTCTTGGGAGATCTCTTAGAACAGAACTGGGGGGGGGAATACTTGGATGGATCCCCCCCCCCACAAGTAGGCCATGGGGTCATAAACAGCATGGGAGAAGATTTCCTCCTGGTTCTGGAGCTGCGAATGTTTTATTTATGTTGCTCTGCCAACCCATGGCGTGGATGTTTCTGGCTGAGATTCGGTGTGGCATTTCTGGGTGGTTTTATGAAATCTGAATGTGGAGTTGGTTCAGAGCAAGGATTCCACTCTTATTTTGAGAGCATCATCCTCTTTTTCTCTTGAAGCAAGATTGGGAGAGCATCATCCTCTTTTTCTCTTGAAGCGAGGTTGAGTTTGTGTCCGGTTCAGCTCTGATAGGGAGAGGCAGAACCCCCTTGTTGGAAAATCAATGATGCTCTGTTAATGTAAGTTCCTGGCGGTCATCTCCCGAGTGCCAGCTGCAGGCTGGGTAGAAAAGTCAGTCCAGCACCTACACACCCTGCTGTTGAGTTGCTCTCTTGCAGGACACCGTCTGGGGGCAGATTGTTACGATTGTGTAGGTTTGGGACCTCAGTCCATGGCAGAATGTCTACTCTCCGTCTGTACATCCCTGGCTGGGCAGCTGAGAGTGTTAGCCTTGAGGTGAGGCCCAGGAGGAGAAAATAAGGAACCGGGCCCTTCTCGGTGGTTGCTGCTCAGCTCTGGAATGAGCTGCCCCCTGAAATTTGCCTAGCCCCCTCTCTGGCGATCTCTAAGAGGAGGGGTGGTACCGGAAGTCAGATTTCAGCTGAATATCAAGAAAAACTTCCTAGCTGTTAGAGCAGTACGACAATGGAATCCATGAAGGGCGAGTGCTCCAGCACTGGAGGCCTTCAAGAGAAACTTGGACAAACCCCTGGCAGATCTCTTTCCATTTGTATTCCTGCCTGGAGCGGAGCGTGTGTGTGTGTGTGTGTGTTTGACTCGATGTGCCTTATAGGCCCCTTCCGACTTCACGATTCTGTGATTCCATGAGCCCTTGAAACTATTCTTCCAGCAAGTTTTCCAAATTATTCCATCTGAATAGCCAGCTGAGATTGTGGGCCTATCATCTTTAAACTACCACTGTTTTTTAAAATGCAATATTAGTTTTAATTTTAATTTTGACTTTTAACCACTTTGCAGTCTTGTACTGTATGTTTTTTTGTCATTGCTGCATCTCGGAGTGACCATAGCTCTGGTTGGTGCTATAAGTGGATGGATGGATAGATGGAAAGATAGATTCATTCATTCATTCATCTTGTGTTGCAGAGTGGAAGTCTGATGTGGGGAGACCACATCAGTTGGTTTGTCCCGTTAAAAGGGGGGGGTCTCCCTTCTCGGGGTGTTTTGGTGCCCATGCCGAAGCTCTCCTCCTTCGTGCGCGTTGCTTCCCTTCCACGCGGAATAGCTATTTCAAGCACCCTGCCTCGCGGCCCACGGCTTAAACAGCGCCTGCCTGCCAGTGTGTCTCCTCTCCTTCGGCCTGCCATCGCTGCTTATCAGCCGAGGATAACGAGAGAGTTGACGTCCCCCTTTCCATCTGCTGAGCGTCCTGCTGATGGTGGCTGATTAACCTGGAAATGCCGAGCGCCAGGAGCAAGGCACTTCGGATTTTCTGCCTGACTTAAATCGTCATCCTCATTGTCATCTGTCTTCTTTTTTTCTTCTTCTTCTCTCTTTTTTAAAAACTTTTCTTTCTGACCTCACCTGGAGGCCTTCAAGAGAAACTTGGACAAACCCCTGGCAGATCTCTTTCCATTTGTATTCCTGCCTGGAGCGGAGCGTGTGTGTGTGTGTGTGTGTTTGACTCGATGTGCCTTATAGGCCCCTTCCGACTTCACGATTCTGTGATTCCATGAGCCCTTGAAACTATTCTTCCAGCAAGTTTTCCAAATTATTCCATCTGAATAGCCAGCTGAGATTGTGGGCCTATCATCTTTAAACTACCACTGTTTTTTAAAATGCAATATTAGTTTTAATTTTAATTTTGACTTTTAACCACTTTGCAGTCTTGTACTGTATGTTTTTTTGTCATTGCTGCATCTCGGAGTGACCATAGCTCTGGTTGGTGCTATAAGTGGATGGATGGATAGATGGAAAGATAGATTCATTCATTCATTCATCTTGTGTTGCAGAGTGGAAGTCTGATGTGGGGAGGCCACATCGGTTGGTTTGTCCCGTTAAAAGGGGGGGGTCTCCCTTCTCGGGGTGTTTTGGTGCCCATGCCGAAGCTCTCCTCCTTCGTGCGCGTTGCTTCCCTTCCACGCGGAATAGCTATTTCAAGCACCCTGCCTCGCGGCCCACGGCTTAAACAGCGCCTGCCTGCCAGTGTGTCTCCTCTCCTTCGGCCTGCCATCGCTGCTTATCAGCCGAGGATAACGAGAGAGTTGACGTCCCCCTTTCCATCTGCTGAGCGTCCTGCTGATGGTGGCTGATTAACCTGGAAATGCCGAGCGCCAGGAGCAAGGCACTTCGGATTTTCTGCCTGACTTAAATCGTCATCCTCATTGTCATCTGTCTTCTTTTTCTTCTTCTCTCTTTTTAAAAAACTTTTCTTTCTGACCTCCAGCAAGAGGCAGCCTGGCAGAGCCTCCTCCCGCTGATCCGCTGGGTTGAAGGCTTCCTTTCAGATCGGAAATAAAAACCGATTTGGGTGGATTTGGTGGATCTTTTCTCTCTCCCATCTGCCTTCCACCTTCTCTCAGGTGTCCCTTGGCTACTCTTTGCTCGGTTTGGGCAGTCGGCAGTGGGTGTTCCGAGTGACTTTGTGTCACCAAACGGAACTGCCTTCCTTAAAAATCCTTCGCTTACAAATCCCTTCTCCGGTCTTTTTCTTGAAGTCCTTCAAAGGCGAGAGTTCCCACCACTTTAGACAGCAGATTTCCTCCTGGTCCGCTTCGTCTACCTAAAACATCGTTTACACTAAGCTGGCTAGACTCTAAATTCTCTCCAGGTAGTGGCTTGTTCCCACGCCAGAGCTAAAAAAATATATTTTTTTTCACTTTTGATTTGAAACTGCTTCGTGGTTTCCCCCACTGGCTGGT